ATGTATTTGAATCCGATTTGAAACCATTTTTTTTAATCATAAAATAAATCAGACAATGAAAGATTCCTTTGCTTTTCTTGTAGTTGACCTTTCTGTTTTAGCTTCTTCAATACTTTTATAAGTTTTAAATAAAACATTTAAATTTTCACAGAGATAGCCTAAATGTACTTGAAAATTAATTGTATCTTTAAAATTTCACTTATGAAGATATTAGTAGAACTCGACCTCCAAATGGGGGAAAATGGCCTCCAAATTGTGAAGTTTATATCTGATTTATTTAAAACTTGAAAATAAACTTCATTAGCAGTATTATTTGAGATTTATAGCTTCATAAATGCTGGTATTTCTTAATATTTCTGTGTTGATCAGAACTAGAGAAATCCCAAATATTTGTCTTTATATTTCCTTATGAAGCTTACCCGCAAAATGTTTCAAAATATTAACGCAATTTTTAGGCGCTTTTGATTCGTTTTTTGTCTTTGTTTGTGTATATATATGTATCTCGATAATGATCTCGAGAATTTTTGGCATATGTATGAGAAACAAGGCATATAATAGTAGAGTGCAATTGCTTTTCTCTGAGTGTGCGCGGCTGCTCTTACTGCAGCCCCTCCCCCCAAGCAATAACGCCACACATTTGTAATGTTGCTTCTGTTTCAGCAGTTTATGCAGCACATTAAAAACGTAGCAGGCGAATATGCCGGGCTTAGAATGCATTTTACAAGTTACTTTAAGGCAATCAATTTGTAAGTCGGATGAGTGGCAAGTGGTTGGCAGCCGTTGCAGCGGCAGTGGCAATGGCAGCGGCAGCTGGAGGAGTAGGAGAAGTGCTTGGCTTGGGGGCGCGGGCGAAAACCAATCAAAAGAGCGTTGCGAACGCAAATTGAACGGCAAATGGTAGTAAGGATGATATTTCAATACTTGAAGTCGAAGCCGCACTTGGAGCCCGTTTGGGTCATAAATTATTGGTCGGGCGACGCCTGCGCGTAGTTCCTTGCTGGCTGGCTTACTTTTTTGCAGTTATGATTATCGCGCCGGGCGCTGAGAAAGCTTCCCGCTCGACACTGTGTGCAAACAAATGTAAAAAATTTTTAATTGACTTTTGGATTTACGCTGCCGCTGCCGTACAGTTGCACTTTTATGGCCTCTCGCGTGCATGGCTAAAAGAAACAAGCGGCCGGCCAGCTTAAAAGTTAATAAAACACGCCCAATGATAACAAGCAACCAACAGCAACAACAACAACAACAGCAACAACAACAGCAACAACAATAGCAACAACTACAGCCAAGCGAAACGCATATTTTGCCCCTGAGGTCTTCATCATCAACTCTTTGTAGCACTGAAGCAAACATTGTGGCCCAACCACGGGCCCATAGCCAGGCCGGAGTCAGTGCCAAAGCCCGACTTGCTGCCTCGACTCGTAGAAAAACAATCAATTAAGCCCACAAGTAGCTGCTCCATCGACAGCGACGGACTGAGCGCCAGCCAGCATGGAAGGCGATGTGGATGTGGATGTCGATGTCGATGTGGAAGACAGTGGCACGACTCTGATTCCCAATGCAGCAGTTCGTTCGGCATTTTTATGGCCTGGTTTGCAAAATTTATGTTACATTTTTATAGTTCAGTGTAAATTGACTTTTAAAATGTAAAATTTATCATTGCATCGGCCAGGCCAACAGCCTTAATTGCTTTATTTTGTATGCAACTGGAGCGTTTTCAATGTCAGCAGCCATGGGAACATGTACTCGTAACTCTCTTCAGTTACCAATTTCTAAAACAGTTCTGATGCAAAATAAACTAGAATTTGTTCTAAAGGTTTGATTTTTTGCCATGCTTAGTTATCTACGCTCTGTTTAGATCAAAAGTTGGCAAACACACATTTTCCTGAGGCATCTTCAATATTATTGAATTTCTGTTAAATTATCTTTTAGGCTTTCTTAGCTTTCTATTTATTTCAAATTAAATTTGATTGAGAAATCGGGATTGAGAAATCGGGCCCAACGAAAAATTTCGATCACTCATTAGTAGAAATATGAATGTTTTTTTTTTTTCAATTCGTCCGTTTCACACCCATTTCAATATTTTATTACACTGCCCTATAAATCGCAAATGTTGTCTTTGAAAAAAAATATTCTACAGAATACTCATGATATAAGACTCCAGGATAAGAGCTTTCATTTGTGAACTCCCTCAGTGAATTGGAAAACTTGGAAAAAGTTGGTCATACAACACTTTCATTCACAAGGTCTCTGTCCTACCTACATGGGGAAGTGCTTACAACAGTAAACTACTTTTTGATTCCAAATTGAACTTTAATCTGCACATCTCTTCGACTATAAATAAGGCTAAAGGTGTACATGGATTCATTAAACGTTGCTCCAAAGAATTTAATGACCCTTACACTACTAAACTTCTATACATACTTGAAAATTGCTCAAGGGTTTGATGTCCACAGCATAGAAAGCATCAATAACGTATTGAATCTGTTCAGCAGCATTTCTTACTTTTCTAAAGCTATGGTTCCAATATTTAAGTAGGCTTTTGCTTATAAATTCAACATTACGAATCCGTTGGACTGTTCTTGGAGTAGTTTTTTTGAAGTAATTGCTGATGTCGACTTCTCTGCCCTTTTATTTCGATTTAACTTTAATTATTAATTATTTTCCATTCATCTTGTCTAGATGTACACCCGATTACGCATTACACACAATTATTTTCAAGTTCTTTGCTCAAATTGTAACTGTTTTTTCCATAGAACTTTCCCTCTACTCCATCAAATCTGTGCTTTATAATATGGTCGGACATTATTGTATTTTTTCTAGTTTATTGTCGAGGCTTTCTTATGTTTTAACTGGTAATTATAACGAATTGTATGTACGTGTATGCTACATTTTACTCTTCGTCAACAGCCCATACTTTGTTGATTTATAAAAATATTTTAAAAATAAAATACATACAAAAACAAGGTCCGTGATCATTCAATCAAGTATTTGGCGATATTTTGTGTCGATTCATACCCATGTATAAAACATGTGTCCATTACTTCCCACCTGATGCAAAGGAACTATCAAAACAATGAACCGAAGAGTAGTTTTTATTAATTATATGCCAAAATCAAAAACAGCTCACGAAATATCAGGGAACTTATTAAAAAGCCGAAGTGATTAAATCAAGAGAAATTGGGAAAATGAAAGTGTTTTTTCTTCAATACAATACACCAGTTCACGCGTTCGTGTTTGCAATGTCCAAAATCACAGTTAAAGTTAAAAATGCTTCCTTAGCTACGCCAGATTATTTCATTTTCCGAAAAAAAAATGGCTCGGTGATTAAAGATCTTCCAACTATTTAGCGCTTGATAGCTATTTTGAAGAGCTCAACGTTTCGGGTATCCAAGCTAATAAGCGTTGCTCGAAAATGTGTGCAGAGAAATAAAAATTATTTTTCCCAAAATTTTTGAGTTTCTATTGTAAGGTCGGGCTCTTCTGTGACAACTACTTCTTTATCGAAATTGCATTACACTTATCTATATATCTTATCAAAATTTTTAGTTATTCAAAATTTGAAAACGTTCACAATAGAATCATTTCAATAGCAACTTAATTTTTGATAAATTTGTAAACATCGTAAAGTTTCAGCACTTACTGAAAGCTTTAGGGAATCGTTGGCAACACGCCAATAGATGGCATAGATAGACCACTTTTTGGGGATATACTTGTAGTTGATAGGCTTTTGTGATATGCTTAAAGCTTTTAGAGCTTTTTCTAGCGATAGATAAATTTAATTATATATACGAATATCCTTGAAAATATAATGGTTTCCTTAGCGAATAATAATCTCCGATTATTCTGCTTTGATAGAATAGAAGTTTGCACCTATCCGTCTGAAACTTAAGTCCGTGATAAATTGATCTTGAATTATATATCAAAATACCGAAATACCCTGAATCCACAGTGTTAAAAAGGTTAATAAACATTGAGAATTATGTATCATTTCCGACCCCCATAAAGTATATATTTACTGACATACATACATATATTTTTATCGAATCGATAAAGCCATGTCTGTCCGTCTGTCCGTCCAACCGTGCGTTTGTCTGTCAGGATTTCGGAAAGGGCTGAGCCGACGTTTAACCGAACTTGGTAAGCAGACTCGCCTAATACCCAAGCACAACACAAGTTTGTTGATTTTATCCTCCATCCTTCGCTAGAGAATTTCCTCAATACCTTTCCAAGCAATTCTTTAATTTCTCTATTTTAATTTTAAATAAAGTGACGAATCTTTAACATTCCAATCTATTACAACATTGTTCCAATATTTTTATTGCTGGTTAGTGCCAACAATAGAACATTTTCAAAACACCATGTGTGTGTTTGTTTGCTAGCTTTTGACTCCAGCAAGTTTCTGCTTGTCATTAATACCGCAATTTTCCTTAGTATTTTCCGATGTTGCCAGATCATCACATGTGAAAGAACTGTTGTTGCGTCAGTTGAAATCAAATAATTGTTGGCTCTAAATACGAGTGTTAAAAAAAATGTTAAACTTAAAACGCAAGAAAGTGCAGATACAAACTTTGACTATAAATATATATAATGTATAAAAATGCACACAAAGAAATCACAGCAAAATAGTGACCCAGATCGTTTCTAAGTCTGTTCGTCTGTAAGTATGCACGCTAGTATCTCCGGAAGTAGTAAAGCTAGAACAACCAAACATGATGCCCAGTTGATGTTCCTTAACTCTCGTAATTCTTTGATTTAAATGGTAATTATCATCATGATGTATATCCTAGCACATAATGTGTGAAGGGCATAAAAACTACCCCCAAAAAAAGTAAACTTTGGAGCTTTCAAGTGCTTTTCTTGAGCCTGCGCGCAAAAGTGGGGTAATAAATGTCAAAACATTTGGCCAACTCAAAGGCCTTGGCCGTTCAGTGTCGCGCTGCAATTTAACTTTCTACACTTTCTACACCCACCTCCCCATGCCCCACAAACAACAATAAAAGCTTCATTGTCAACGTTTCGGCGCGTGGGTGGGGAGCTCCAAGCCCCCGAATGTTTGCATTTGAATGACGAAACAACGGCTGAGTAGTCAGTCGGTCGAAAGAAAATCCATAAATTGATTAAAGTGCGCGATATTGTTCGTAAAAAAATAGTGGAAAATATTGTTATAATAGAAAACATTCAAAATGCTGCTCCCTGCGGCTAACTCGGCAAGTCCTAACAACTGGCGACGTCTCTGGGAAATGCTTATGTCGCCCATAACACCAAGAAATCTGCGCACAACAGCGCTTCTGACGAGCATCTACCAACTGGTGAGTGTTCTATATAGTCTCGCCGTTTGTTTTATAGGTGGTGGATTCCCTCAAAACTGAATACCATGGATTAATAAGTTGGGGCACAGCGCAAACGGCCACTGGCACGCAGGCGAACCTGCAATCCAATGGACTGACGTTGCCAGCCGCAGCCCCAGGGCTACAAAAATTACGCACTGGATATGCAAAGCCATACCCCACTGGGCACGCCGACCCACCAAAGGTGGCAATTCAGCGCACACCCCACCCGAGAAGGGTGTTTGGATGTGTCGGCGGCGCAATGCGTCGAGCAGTTTTTCGATCAGAAACCCGCCGAGACGAGCACCCTTTTAAATCGAATGTGGCTCGCAATGAGGGTGTGTACCGCAGATGTCTTGAACTGATTGGGAATTCCAAGGTCACTGCTTGAAAACACTTCAGTGCAAAGAAGCAAGCCAAGATCGCTTATATATTAAAATAGTGAAAATCAGGAATTAATAATGAACTCATTCGTCATTATTGGATATAACCTGCCCTCTAAAATATATACGACCTTTGTGCCTTCAGCTCATCGCGCACTGCATTCTATTCCTGGTATTACTGTGCCTGGCGCATGCCGAACAAATGCGTCACCTATTGGATCTGGACATTTTGGATCAGAAGGATAATGGCTTCTATAATATGTCGCCGTTTCACAACGATGTGCGGCTACGCAGTGCATCCGAATTGGCAGATGCTACCGAGAATGCATTGTACGTACTGTCCGCTCTAACTGGGGTCTACGCGCTCGCTGCCATAGCCCTCTTTATTGGCGTCTATCAGAATCGTCCGGGACTCATCATTCCATGGCTGCTGATTGAATTTTTGGGCATGATTGCCGCAGCAGTGTTAATTTTCATGCTAAAGGATACCAAGTTGCCGCAAATCTTTGGTGGACAGACTTTCTATTGTGAGTATCGGGGGGTCTTGAGCTCTCCACAACATCATTCCAACTATCAATTTCTTCTATTTCAGTTGTGATCTGCTATTCGCTGGTCTGCATGGATGGGTTCAAGTGGTACGTCATGCATAGCTTTTACCAGAGTCTGCGCACCATGAATAAACTACGAGAGATCGCTACCGTGGCCATTCCCTGCCCAGCACCGGGCGCTGTAAGTTTCCCTATAATCCCCGCATGGACAAAATATTGTGTAACTATAACGATCTATGTATCTTTAGATACCCTATCATTTTCGACGTGAGCACATGAGCAATGGATATAAGCACATTTTAACCGACTCACCCGATGGCCAGTGTTAGATCAACTACCAGCGCCTCATCTGGATTATAGCTACGATCCCCAAAACTACTTACTATCTACAACTTCCAGCATGAAGTGTCTTAAATTTTTTTTTTTTCGTCTCACTCGGCAATGAATCTGTTTTACTTATCGCTTTTAGCATGCATAGTACATATATATTTTCTTGGAACGTGTGTGATATGGGAATAACAGAGAATACTATTTTGTGTAATTTGCATGATTTTTAGATAATTACATACATACATATATACATATACGTATGTATGTATATAGTAGTAAGTACTTGAACGCAATTAAAGTGAGGCATATATACTCGTACATACATATTTAGGAAAACACTTGCTAACAATTTGGAAACCCCATTTTATATGTAGTGCTTAAAAATGTCTACAGGTTTTATGTAGTTGTTAAATACTTATTAAAAAAAATACGATACACCCAAAAAAGCGTGACTGAGAGTGCGATCCTGCCAGGAGTCGAACCTGGAATCTTCTGATCCGTAGTCAGACGCGTTATCCATTGCGCCACAGGACCGGATAGCGAACGATGGATAAAGTGCTTACTTCTGCTTGCATGCAAAATAACTGTAAGAGCTTTACTGCCGACGTTGCTATTTCTGTTCGAATCAAACAATGTACTGCTACCGCCACCTGTCCGTAAGCTGCGGCAAACTATAGAAGCGTAAGCTTTTGCTCCAATTTAATTAGCAACAGAAATTTATGAATGTTGATTTGTTATTTTATGTTGCTTTAGTTTGATTTTAAAATAACAACGTTTTTTCAATTTCTTGTGATTTTATTTAGAAATTATGCTGTCGATGTTGCTATATCTGTCTGATTCAAACAAAGTGCTGCTACCGCCACCTGTACGTAAGCTGCAGCAAACTAGCTACTTCTAAAATTTAATTAGCAACAGAGATTTAAGAAAATTAATTTGTTATTTTATGTTGCTTTAGTTTGATTTTAAAATAACACCGTCTTTTTAGTTTCTTGTGATTTTATTTAGAAATTATTGCTTCCGGTATTTTTAAGATCTTGCAAGTTAATTATTATACTTTTAATTCATTGAATAGTTTCGAAATTTCAAATTTATGTTTGTCATTTATTAAGTGCTTTAAAGTTTCAGGTTTTCCATCTACGCGCACTTTAAAGACCCTCAGTCATTTATCAATTGTTCGGTGTATGTATGTAGTATATACATATTTTAAAATTAATTTGGTCTTTCTTAGGCTAATTTGTCTCGACATTGTTTAACCCTTACGACCACGTGTATTTCGGACTGTGGTGCGCACCGTTGGGGCTGCAGTTGTTGTTGCTGCCGTGGTCGAGCTGGAGCCCAACAGTGTCATATCGTTGTGCAGACTATCCATCAGGGCATCAGCCAGGGTTATGTTCATGTTGTCATCACCACTAGTGTCTGTTGGAATGCTTATCTGGAATTGCAGCAGCACGACCAGATAGGTGACCATTGTCGTTAGCAGACCCTTGAACAGATTTCGGTTAATGTCGAAGAAGCCACCACAGTTAATGTTCGATGGATCCATTTCCGTGGCGCGCAGGAACATATTTATCTCGGTTTGGGCATCGGAATTCATCCAATTTAGTTCGACCATTAGTAATTTTTTCTGAAAATTTGTACGCACATTTGCCGAGGCATAATAGGCTTCGTCGCAGATATAGAATAGCAGACAAACGTTCCACATTGCCGTAATTAATAATCCAATATCCTTGATGCCGAGACCGGCCGACATTTGCGACATGAGTCCGTAAATCGAAAGCGTAATGATGAAGAATAGATAGAGACTCATGAACATTAAGGTATAGCAGGTGGCAGTGCCAGTATCTCGAGTCAATTTGCTCAAGCGCAGCCACAGGGCGCGATAGTCTGCTACCATGGAGGCCGGACCAATATGTCTCAAGGCCTTTTGGAAACGCAGGGCCAGAAAATTGGCAGTTATGCTCAGAGCCTGGCATATCAGATACCACCAGGCACCAATCATGGCGGTAACGTTATCCAGTATACAATAGGGAACCACCTGCATCAAATTCAAATCGACCATGGTGGTGTGTATGACGATTACCGAAAGCACCGATAGGATGGGTAGTATTATGGAAATCCATAAGGCCTTCTCGCGCAGATGCAGCGGCAAACTGTGACCACAAGTTTGGTAATAGAGCACCTCGAAGTCATCCCAGTCATTAAAGAGTTTGGCCACCTTGTCTGTCTCCCACCACAGCACTGGGATCATTACAATGGGCAAGATGTTGACCAGAAAGAGGTAAGCAATGACAGCCTCCTCAAAGGGACCGCTCAGCGAGCGCACAGTTTCTATGCGATGATAGGCCACATAGGCGACGTAGCACTATAAACAGCACTGGAGATTAAACAGGAACTTAGGGCCTGACATATGGACAGTCAACTCACCGAAAGAAAAATGAAGAATATAATCGAATAGAGAAATGCTACGGACTTCAATTCCAGTCTAGCACGTCCGGGACCACTTCGGACCATGGGCAGAGCTCCAATTAGGAGCAGAAACCAATTTACAGGCGCAATATTCCGATAAAAGACACTCTAGAGAATTAGCTGGCAATCAAGAATCCTTTCGAATATTTCAACTTTTCCACTCACCGGCGTAAACTCATGAATCTGTGAGCCAACCGTGGCAACAGAAAAACGTTTTTCGTCACCCAGTGCCGGTGCTCTATTGTCATTATCCAAGCACTCTGCCATTCCGATAGAATACTTCCGCATTCCATGTAAATAGCTCTGCGTATTGGCCGCATTAATTGGCTTGACATTCAGAAATACCGTTTCGGGTTTCTTGCGTCTATTGTAGTTGGCCATCCTGAAAGAACTGTTACATTTGCTAGTGAGTCCTGGGCCGTTAGACGAAGCATATTAATTATGGATGCATTGCTTATTGTTTTCGTGCCTTTATTTATTTGCACTTGACGGTTTTTTGTTTGCTTTACGCAACTTTTCAAAGGCAAGCGCCATTGATTCTTGACTTTTCTATTGATTTTCTTCATTTATTTACTCTCTGCATGGACCTTAGCCCCGTGGCCCAATTTCGTTTAAGGCGCCCTTAACAATTTAATCTTTAAATAGCTTCGCAATTGCAAAAGAAATGAATAATAAAATTAGGTTGTTTATCATAGAAAAAACCTATATGCCAATTGGACGAGTTCAGGCAATCTTTAAACAGAAAATAAGAATGGTGCCATCCCCAAAACCTATAGGTGCCGTTTTTAAAAATGCGTTCTTAAATATAATTTATTTATTATTTATAAATGCATCAAATATGTGTCTATATATAGTCGTAGGAACATATAGTATTCAAATTAAGTAGCTATTCCTTTAAAGGGGAGGATAAAGGATCAATCACTGCTGATATTGGGAAGTACATGTTTAAACAAATTTATGCGTCGCTTCAAATAAAACCTTAAGTCCGTTGATTATTTATTTCGATTTATGGCTAACATAACTAGTTTTAATAACTAAATACCTAGTTCATGTATTCTGTTCCTTATCAAGTTTTGACATTTTTGCCCTATGAAAGATAATTAAGAAGAAATCAATTTATATTCTTTGTAATTTGTAATGTTGTTACTGCATCGTTTTTACACCAAAATTAAATTCCTGGCGCCATCTACAACTCATTTTTTATACTACACCCCTTGCCAATACAAAATGTGTGGCACCACCTTACAAAAATACACTAGCATTACATATTTTGAAAAGTGGCAACACGTTTATGTTTTTTCTGGAAATAGGAACAAAATTCGACTGTCACCAGTCTTGGAAAACAAGGATTACATTTAATATTAACTTATATAGAATACTTGTTGATTGAACAAAATGGTTGACTACAGCAAGTGGAAAAACATTGAGGTAAGTAACTGTGAATAGGCTGCAAGAACGATTTCCTCCCTAATCACAGAAGCCGCATGCACACTCACACAGATTTCGGATGATGAGGACGATACACACCCGAACATCGATACACCTTCGCTGTTTCGCTGGCGACATCAAGCGCGTGTGGAGCGCATGGCCGAGATGGATAAGGAGAAGGAGGACTTTAAGAAGAAGCGGCAGAGCCAAAAGGCGCGTCTTTTAGATGTGAAGGAGCGCATTAGCAAAAAAGAGGGGGACGAGGCGGCGCTCAAGGTGAGTCATGCCTTTTTTAAGGCAACCAAAAACAAATCACTGAAGGATACTCGTCCATCTGATAGAAAGAGCTGGAGAAGGTTGAAAACGAGGGCAAAGAGCTTGACCGCCTTGAGAACGAAATGCTAAAGAAGGAAAAGAAAACGCCCTGGAATGTAGACACAATCAGCAAGCCGGGCTTCGAGAAGACTGTGATCAATAAGAAGCCCGCACGCAAGCCCGATGAGAATATATCCGAGGAGGAGCGCGAACATCGCATGAAAACGTTTGTCAAGGAGAACGAAAAGTTGTGTAAACAGTACGGCATGTTGCGCAAATACGACGATTCCAAGCGCTTCCTGCAGGAACATCTGCATCTGGTTTGCGAGGATACGGCTAACTATCTGGTCATTTGGTCCATCAATCTAGAAATGGAAGAGAAACACGAATTGATGGCGCATGTGGCCCATCAATGCATTTGCATGCAGTACATTCTGGAGCTGGCCAAGCAGCTGGATGTCGATCCACGTGCTTGCGTGAGCTCGTTCTTCTCAAAAATACAGCACTGTGTGCCCGAATATCGGGCCCAGTTCGAGAGTGAAATTGAGGGCTTTAAGGAACGCATTCAGAAACGAGCCCAGGAAAAGGTACAGGAGGCTATCGCCCAGGCCGAGGAGGAAGAGCGTCAGCAGCGCTTGGGACCCGGTGGTCTGGATCCAGCCGATGTGTTTGAATCGCTTCCAGATGTAAGTATCGGGCTGGGAGTGCATTATTAAAAAGAAATCTGCGCTTCAGAGATACATCCACATGGTTAATAAGAGCTATCGAAGTCTAATATCGTGTCTTGACTTTTGCAGGAGCTGAAGGCCTGTTTCGAATCCCGAGACATTGAGCTGTTGCAGAAGACAATTGAGGCTATGCCAGTTGATGTGGCCAAATATCATATGAAGCGTTGTGTAGATTCGGGACTTTGGGTGCCAAATGCCAAAGATGCTCCACTTGGTGATAAAGAGGATGGAGAAGCTGGGGAATCGTCAACAGCAGCAGCAACAGCCGATAAGGTCGACAAAACTGATGATGCCAAGTCAGAAAAGGAACCCATATATACGGGCGTCAGCACTGACGATGTGGATTGATTCCCACGATATTATTATTATTGAAAATCGTTTCCATTTGCTATACGCCCCATAGACCTTAAGCTTAACAGTTTCCTGTCCATAATCATGCATCATGCGCAAAAAACAGCATTTTCACTTGATTGAATGTTTGTATATACATATGTAAACGATTTGGTTTGAATAACAACAGTAAATTATCAGTAGGCTGTATCTCGTCCACTGTCATTTTGATGTGCCCCTCTCTAAATAAATATGAATATCAAGTGACTTACACAGAATCAACAGTAGCTACAATTTCTTATACAAACATATATTTTGCTAAAAATTTCAAATGAATCGTCCAGAGTTGGATTATTATGCGGTCTTGGACGTATTGCGGACAGCGTCTAAGGAGCAAATAACCCTGGCCTATCGCAGGATGGCTGTACGTTTGTGTCCGCATCGCGATAAGAAGCACGAACAGGATTTTGTGCCATTTGGCCAGGAGGGACGACTCTCGCATATGTCACCCTTAGGCGAGGAGAAGCAGTGGGCGTATATAAATATGGCCTTTGATGTCCTGGGCAATGACCTATATCGCTCTATATACGATCGCTATGGCGAGGCAGGTCTCTTCGAGGGTGTTATGCTGCCCAATGGCTACTTTCCACCCTACCAGTATCATGGCAATCACATGAAAGTATATCAGGATGTCTTTGCAAGCTATTCGCCCTACGCTAATATCATAGATGCCATCACAAATCCTCCCAGCTTGTATGCCACACGTGAGCATGGAATTGGAGTACGCAGCAAGGATGCAGATACCGAACGCACCATATTGCTTTCATTGGAGGAGGTGCGCACTGGCTGTGTGAAGCTGATGCATGTCTGGCGGCAGGAGATTGTGGAGGAGTCGCGATTGGAGAAACGGTTTGGAATGAAAATTACCCATATCCTTTGCTTCAATTAGAGAAATGTTTAATTCCTCTTCCACTCTCCCCACAGGAAGCACACACTCAAACTTAATATACGACCCGGGACCACGGCTGGAACACGCTACTGTTTTAAGGAGGAAGGAGATCGTTACCCCACCACCATACCGGGTGATATTATTTTCATAGTCGCTGACAAACCGCATCCACGTTTCGAGCGTCGCAATATGCACGATCTCGTGTACCGCTATGATATAACCATTGCCCAAGCCCTCACCGGCTTTACATTCTTTGTGGAGACCCTGGATAAGCGTAAGCTAAAGATTGTCATTTCGGATGTCGTCACTCCAGGCTATATTAAGATTGTACCGCGTGAGGGTTTACCAAAATGCCAGAATATGGATGCCGTGACTGCCATTAAGCAGGCCAATAAGAAAATCGAGGACTTTGGCGATCTAATCATTGAGTTTAATTGTAAATCAGCTTTTCTCACTCACCCACATTTGTTACAGATTTCCATTATTCCATTGTTTTTGCAGATTTATTTCCAAAATATTTAACGCCCGAAATGAAAACCATGACGCGCGAGTTCTTTGACGAATTTCATAAACTGGAGCTAGAACTGGAGGAGGAGGAGGCAAAAAATATGAATCTTGAATAAAAAAAATTAACGTTTCGTTCTGTCAAAAAACCACTTTTGTCTTCTTCATTTTAAAAGTTCTGCTGCAACTGCCGGAACTGGAACCGGAACCACAATGCAGCTCGATAGTATCGATAGCAACCGATGTTTTGTCATCAATAGTTGCTCAGCACTACACGAACGACGTATTAACGACGCCTTTTTGGCTTATTTATTGTCAAATTGCTTAACAATCGGGGCAGCAACAACAACAATTGCAATAGTAATCAAATATTAAGTTATCCCATTGTGAGTGGGCGTTGCTCAGACGATGCAAAACAGCTAAAAAATTGTTACAAACCAAAGGGGCGATTTTCCATAAGTCACAAGCTAATCAAATTAGTGGGCAGCAACAACAAAACTGCATACCAGCAAAAGCAGCAACAACAACAACAACTGCGTTACGCTTCACCTGCGACCGCACCTACGGGCGACGAAACATGCATTTAAATGCTGATATTTCGAGTGCGCTCCAGCAAATCGATTCGGTGAAGAGGAGCATTGATGAGGCCGACGATCCGAAGCTGCAGCTGCAGACGGCAGAGAGTTTGAAGACCATTTTGGATATACTTCAGGATCCGGTCTTTCGCACCATTGTCCATGTGCAGGATTCGTTGTCGGAGCTGAATGCCCAATTGGTCCAACATCCCTCCATGCTGCCCAACGATTTCGACATCGATGTTTCGGGAAATTTGGTGCTTAGCCTTAATGGCGGCGATGTCATTTACGACTTCGATGAGAGACGCTCCTCGTCGGCAGCCATGTCTCCGCACTCGGCACCTGGCAGTCCAGATAACAAGTCCGCTAGCGAGGACCAGCCACGGCCCCAAAGTCAAAACTCCAAGACGGCAGCGGGGGCAGATTTGTACGCCACGGACTATGCTCAAATACAGGCAATAGAGCTGGTAAACGATGGCACGGGTCTGGGATTTGGCATTATTGGAGCACGCAGTTCTGGCGTCATTGTGAAGACCATTTTACCGGGAGGCGTGGCAGATCGCGATGGCCGTCTGCGCTCCGGGGATCATATTTTACAAATCGGTGAAGTCAATCTACATGAAATGGTATCGGAACAGGTGGCGGCTGTGCTGCGTCAGTCGGGCACACATGTTCGTCTCGTCGTCGCCCGCCCAATTGAGCAGTCCCTGCCCACACCCCAGTATGGTCTTGAAGCGGGCAGTGCTGTGGTGCCCACACGGGTGCTTGTAGATCCCGCCGAGCTAGAACGCTATCTCATATCAACTGGTTATCCAGAACTTTTTGGCGAGAGCTCAACGGCATCGACGCCTCAAACTACAACGGAGGACGAACGTTTTGTATATCGTGGCGAGACCTCCATGTTAATTGATCCCAGCATTGATCTGGAGGAGTTGCTGGCACTGCCCGAGACGGAGAAGCTGCAAGTGGAGCTGAAAAAAGATGCAAATGGCTTGGGCATTACCATTGCGGGCTATGTGTGCGAGAAGGAGGAGTTGTCTGGCATCTTTGTGAAAAGTGTGTCGCCCAATTCGGCGGCGGACTTGAGTGGGCGCATACGTGTGAATGATCGCATTATCGAGGTGGATGGCCAATCGCTGCAAGGTTACTCCAATCACCAGGCCGTGGAGTTGCTCAAGAAATCAGGGCAGGTGGTGAATTTACGCTTGGAGCGCTATTTACGCGGCCCCAAGTACGAGCAGCTGCAACAGGCCATAGCCGCCAATGACAAGTTGCCGTCCAGCAGTTCTCCAGGTACGCCTTCGCGCGCCCCTCTGCCCATTCCAGTGGCCACAACGTCCACATCATCGATTACAACAACACCGTCACGTAGTGCTGTAAGAGAGGATGAAGATCCATTGGCTTTGCCAGCACCAGAGGCCTTTATGTCCTCACCCCCAGCCACAAACACAACTCTCAAAAGCTTCGGCGCTGGAAAGCAATTGGTAGCCGTTCGGGACTCCATCGATGGTACGCCCAAAATCATACCCACGGACGTGATGCAATTGGGTAGCAGTCAATCCGAGGAGCAGGAGGTGAGTTGCTATATTTATTTCGAATTTAATCCAAGGTATTCATTCTCCTTGGTTATCTATAGTCTGTGCACGCGAAAAACGCTGGACTCATCACACGCCATAAATATTACACCGATCCAGAGTTGAGCGCTGAGATGGAGGCAGACATAATACGCAAATGGCAGAAGATTGTGGGCTCGGATGTTGAGGTTATTGTGGCGCAAATCAAAAAGTTTGCCGTTGGTGGTTTGGGCATTTCACTGGAGGGCACTGTTGATGTGGAGGGGGGACGTGAAGTGCGTCCGCATCACTACATACGCTCGATACTGCCGGACGGCCCTGTTGGCGTCAATGGCGTTCTACGCTCTGGGGATGAGCTGCTCGAGGTGAATGGCGAACGATTGCTGGGCATGAATCATCTGGAGGTTGTTGCTATACTGAAGGAGTTGCCATTGGATGTGCGCATGGTGTGTGGACGAAGTAAGAATACATCGCTGCTTCCCTTCTCCGATGATACACTTAAAAAGTTGAGCAACAACTTTGAGAATCTGTTGCCTGCTACTGATCGCTTAGTAAAGGCCAAATCTGATGGAAGTTTGGCCACTGCTGGTTCGGTCGCCGATGCGGATGCGGTGGCAGCGGCTGCCTCGTCGTTTAATAAATTAAAATCTCGCTCATTGGAGCCCCTCACTGGACTTGCCATGTGGTCCTCAGAACCGCAAATTATCGAATTGGTTAAAGGTGATCGAGGTCTGGGTTTTTCCATACTGGACTATCAGGATCCACTTGATCCTAATGATACGCTCATCGTTATACGCTCTTTGGTGCCAGGCGGAGTTGCCCAACTGGATGGACGCCTCATTCCGGGCGACCGATTACTTTTTGTCAATTCCATCAACTTGGAGAATGCCTCCTTAGATCAGGCCGTCCAGGCGTTGAAGGGCGCGCCTAAGGGTGTGGTCCGCATAGGCGTGGCCAAACCCCTGCCGATGACGGACAATTCGCTAAAGGCATGCAGCAATGCAAGCACCACCAGCGAAGAGACGTTGGAGACACAGCAATCCTCGCCAGCACCACAATCAGCATCGGCATCGGCACCTACTGCAGCAAAGGGCGTGGAGCCCGATTTAATACCAGACTGGCGCAAATAGAGGAATTGACCAGAGTATATTTATATGAAATAGATATATAGTATATATAGATCGAGGAATTGTTGCCGAATCAAAATGTTATAGATATGTAGCACCGAATTGTGTTGATGTTGACTAGACCAGTTACTTTGGCTGGTCTTACCCGGGCACTGCCTGCCACAAAAGCATTCCATTTTGCAATATTTTTTGTCGTTTAGTATTAGCGTGAATTTTAAAAACTGTTTATGTACTTAAAAACTAAATAAATTATGCGAATCGTTCACAAGAGAATTTTCTTCATACTATACTATAATTTAGAGTATTTCTCCACAGCTACTGCACCCGATTCAGCTGACGTTCTATCTTCAGATGCGTGCGCCTCAGTAACACCCGATCCCTGGCATAAGACACCAGATATCCCAACGCGGCCACAACAAAGCACAGTATCTCGAACTTTATGAAATTGCGCTGATCAATGAGCGCTACCCTGTCGCAGCTTTTTGTCACAATCTCGCCGTTCTGACACTTGAGCAGCTCCTTATAGTGGGTGTGAATGCAGACGCCTACACTGCGACTCACAATGTCGAACTCCGAGCATGGGTGGCACTCCTGAATAACAGTATAAGGCCCTTGCTTCCAACATGTGGAATTGTTCTCGATAGCGAATTGCTGTTGCGCCCGTCGACGGCTGCCAACGCCTCCATCGGCGGCGTACCGTGATTCGATTATTAGCACCAAAATCGTGACCAGTGTGAGCGCTCCCAGGCCCAGCACCATATGGTGCTTTTGGCAATTCTCGAGCATTTCTCCTTGACTTTTTCTTATTCACTAATTTCACAAAAACACAAACAGTGAGACCAGTGTTCAGCACTGTTAAGCTTCAGTGTTGGTAAGTGAAAGCGCAACAGATACAACCGTTAAGATTTAACATTTACCTCTCGAACATCATGTTGATCTATCGAGGAGGATTAGAACAGGATCAGATTATTCCAATGGAAGGCACTTTAATAGTTATCAGGATCTCAAAAATGCAATACAATGGCTACAACAAATTTTTTGTTCTATTTCCATTTCGCTCACTTTATAAGTATGGGTATCTACCTTGCTGATAAGAATTCCTATGTGGTGTATAACCATGACATTTTTATGGATAACCGTAGAACGTCTTTTGCCAGTACGCAGGCGGACGTCGTTGTCAAAAGACGTTTAATTTCGGATGAACTAAAATTCTTTATAAACTATATACATACTTATACTATTTACGTACAATTATAAATAGTTTTGATGAACACAAACAAAAACAAAATAAAATGGTGAAGTCCTTGAACAATGAAAAAGTGGATTCTTTCCCTGAAGACGAAAACTCAACCGAAACCTTAAAGAGTTTGAACGACTTAATACAGAATTCCGTTATAGACATTAATATGGAGGTCAATCCAAATCTATTTGACAACGAAGTTGGCGTTATTATTGATCTCACCGAGACTAAAACCAGATATTTCTACCGCAGGACCTATCCTGTTATTGATCTTACCGACGAGTTCTGTGATAGTGGCTATGAAATTGCGGACTGAATTTATGCAATAAGTTCAAAATTTTTATATTATAAGCCTTATTCAGTTTTATTGAAGAAAACGCCATTACCATGTTGTAAATTTTTTATTACAAAACTCTACTGTATATATTTACAATAATTATAGAAAATAAAAAAATTAAGAAAATTAAAAAAAAAAATTTGATCGATTTTACCTCTCTCGGCAGGTGGGCAGCGCTGCAGCAGCAAATATATTTATGGCTATAACTTAACGGACTATAACGGACACATAATAACTAACTGGGGGTATTTGCAAAATTTTAGTTCGAAATTCCAAGAATTACGGGAGTTACGATTTGCGGTGGAGAGGGGGGAGGGAGGGAAATTCCAAAATATACATTTCCTGCGTATTCGTATAAGGCATCTTGTACTAAAATTTGGTGTTTCTAGGTCTTATAGTCTCCGAGATATAGGTGATTATAAGAATGGAAAATCGGCAAAACCCCCATAGGGGGGAAGTGGGCCGAAATTTTTAAAAAATAAAACAAACTCGTATAGCGTACACACATAAGGCATCTTTGTGCAAAATTTGGTGTCTCTATCTCGTATAGTCTCTGAAATCCAGGTGTTCATACGGACGGACAGTCAGACAGACACGGCTATATACTTTGTGGAGTCTGACACGCCTCCATCTGCCTATTTTTCACTTCCCGCAAACCTAATATACTCTTGTACATTTCATGTACAGAGTATAATTATTATACACACAGACGCAATTGCTATGTAAATGTGCAATTATACACCCTTTACGTGAGTTCGAATACCGAGAAAGGTAAAATCGATCCAATTTTTTTTTCTTAATTTTTTCTATTTTCTATAATTATTGTAAACATATGTACAGAGTATTTCAAAGTCGGGACACCCGACTTTAGCTTTTTTACTTGTTAAATTATTATTCTGTGGGCGCTGACCCATATTAAAGTACAGTGAACACTTAATGTACACCTCTTTTCACTGTGCATACATACAAGGGCGTAGGCAGCTTTTACCAAAGGGGGGCCAAAAAATTAAAATTTTGATTAAGTAATGCACGATGCATTTAAAAAATAACTTATGCATATGATCAATGAAAAAACTTCAACAAATCCAACTCAGATCCATTTTAAGGCGAAATAGGCGAAAGTTCGCCGTTAGGAGAATAGTTGGGATTCGCAGTGTAGTTCAAATGAGTACACTTTTAAGTAAAGTTTGGCGTGGCGACGACCGGCGCGGTTTATTTCTAAAGTCTGACTAACTCTGAGTATAAAAAGGTTCTTAAAATTAAAGCTGTTACCCATATTTGCTAATATGGCACTTTCTGCAAGTACATATATACAATGTTTTAACAGGTGCCCTTTTGGCGCTTTCTGTTCGTTGGGGCCACACCATTTAGAGAACCAAAACATAACCGATAAGTGCAGGTCGGTAATATTAAATATATCGATAACACTAGACTTATCGCATGAGAAACAGCTGCAAAAAAACGCGCCAAAATCGTCTGCAGCAACAAGTGGAGTTTGGTTTCGGAAGCGTCTCATTAGCTTTTCTGGAATTTTGCCGTGATGGACGAGTTGGCGCGCTTACGAAAACGCATAACAACGTCCTTTAAGCTGAGCGGCTTCATAATACGCTCCGAGAATAGCACTTTCCTGGCCGAGCAGCTGCTGCCCTTCGATGCGACCGAACGCGAAAAGTGGCTTACAATAATAGCAGAAAACCTTCAAGGACAAAAACTCTCAACACCTCACGTCGAGCGCAATGCGCTGGAGAAGGCGATAAATGAGCTGAATCGCGTTGGCTTGGATGAGGGCGAAACGGTCTTCTCTCTGATCGACGCATTCTGTGTGCCGCGCTATCGTTACAATTTGCGCAACAAGAAGTTCGATCGGGACACAAATTCGCGGCAGCTACTCACCCAACCGCGCATGAAGTCCGACTATATGCAGCAGCGTTATTCCATGCTGCTGCAGAAGACCCTGCGCCACGATCTCTTTGCGCCGCCGGTTATACAGGACGGCGTGTCGGTGGATGCGTTGGCCAAGAAGTTCAAGCTACAGTACGCGGAAAATTTGTTGGCCACGTCAACCGTTAAGGAGGCAGTGGTACTGGGTCTGCTCACGCAGTTAAAGGAGGGCAAGTTTTATGTGGAGGATCCCACGGGATGCGTGGAATTGGACTTGAGTGGTGCGCGCTTTCATGCAGGCTTCTTCTGCGAGGGCTGCTTTGTACTTGCCGAGGGCAGTTATGCGAATGGTGTGCTAAAAGGTATGTTGTCCATATAATGCGGGAAAGGAAATTCAACATTCTGTTTGCTTTTAGTTGATGGCTTAGGCTTTCCCCCGGCTGAGCCGGCAAGCAGCAGTCGCGCCTTCTTTGGCACAGCCAACACCTGGGGTGGTGAATCGGCCAAGCTATTAAAATACTCGCCGCGTCTACAGGAGATGGAGCGTTCCAACACCGAGACCACGATGGTTTTTCTCTCCGATGTGCGACTGGACATGCCTGTGGTTATGGAGAAGTTGCGTCAGCTCTTTGTCGGCTACGACAACTGCCCACCTCAAGCTATTGTGCTGATGGGTCCCTTTGCCGCCAGCACCAGAAGTCATCACGAGCTGCGACATCATTTGGATGCACTAGGCGCTTTAGCTGCCGGATGTGAGCAGCTTAAGAAACAATCAGACCTAATATTGGTGCCATCTTGTGAAGATCCCACGGCCCCCAATATATTGCCACGAGCTCCTCTGCCTGAATGCCTGGCTGTGGGTCTGCGCAAGCTTTGGCCGCGCACCCAATTGGCTACGAATCCTTGCCGTCTACAGTACTGCACCCAGCAGATTGTGGTCTGCCGTCTGGATCTCATGGCCAAGTTCTGTCGCAACACCCTCCACTTTCCAACCGACACATCGCACATTGAGCAGCATTTTTCGCGCACTCTCATTTGCCAGGGCCATTTGGTGCCTATACATCCCATAGCTATGCCAGTGCATTGGGACTATGATCCAGCTCTGTGGCTATATCCGTTGCCAGATCTAATCGTAATGGGTGATGCGTGCCAAAGCTTTTCAAGCACTCAGCACGGCTGTACTGTGCTCAACACTGGCTCCTTTGTCAAGTCAAAGTTCGCTTTCAAGGTGTACATACCGTCCACTCGCACCATTGAGGATTCGGAAATACCGAGCGATATGGACTTGACCTGATCGGCAGATCGGCCAATCACTAACGTAAGTTAATTAAGTTTTACACTTCTTAAAAATATATACCACGTTGTTTTATTTATATTTATGTATATGTATACTTCAATATACTGTTGTCTGTATTGAATTTAGCACGTGTTGAGTCTGTCGCTGTTATGTTTTGTTATGGCCATCATAATAGAGTATTATGGATTTGCCATGTAAGTTAAGATCGATTCATGGTCCTACGAAAATATATTGCTTCGTGTTTGCTTAAAAATGCTGATAATTACAAAGAAAAATTGTCTAAAAATATTCAAACAATATTAGAAGAATGTAGTTCTCCTCAAAATGAATAATTACAAGAATAGCTATAGCTTCTCTTTTTAACGAATTTCAAAAGTATAAGCTGGACAAAAAAATGGCTACACAACTTTACTTTACTATTACATTAATGGAAATACAATTTTGAAAGTATGTATACTTACGAAGTATATATATTTTGTAGGATAAAATTTTATTGGGTCAGTTGAACCGTTTCATGAGTTTCATGGGAAAGAGTTGCTATATAAAGTGCTCAAAAAAAAAAACAATTTTTTTCCGGTTTTTAAAGTCGTTATTAAACATTTTCTCAATTTCAATGGATCATTCACATATTCCATAAATGTGTGATGATTATGTTATATCCGGATGTGTGTCTTTGACTTGAAGTTATGGTTTACACTTCCATTTGAATGTTAACGGGAGTTTGTTGACCAATCTTCTCTTAACTATTTCATTTTATTGTTATCAAAATGTTTACTTTTTGGATTAGTAAACAAAAAGGAGTTGATAGATAAAAGAAATAATTACCACAATTACTTATTATACTATCTCTTCTCACTCCTCTTTTATTTTAAATTGTACAGGAGTGTTACAGGTAGGGTTAGTAGATGGTTATAAATGATAGACTGCCATCATCTTTCTTGAAATAACTATGAGGTCAGATAATACCTATTATATATACCTATGTATACTTGTTATCTGTGCAGGATTAAGATGATCTGGGACTAGGTATTTTTGTATGGTTTTTGCGTCTCAGGTAAACTGAAGACTTCATTAAAGCAGATTGGAATTTTTTAGATGCATATACTATATTTAATGGTATATTTCTCTTATATGAATTTAGAGTAATGAGCATTTAAAAAACAACGGAAAAAATGGACTTGTACTTGCGATTATTCAGTTGATAAGATGACTATATATAATCGAAATTTGGAACTATTCATATATTCTCGATATAAAAGAATCTGTTTTATCGTTTCTGTTTGAAAGCGAAAATGATTCTCTCATTTCTGCTAACCATTCCATCTGTAGCAAATGAAGTTTGTTAAGAAATTGCTTTATCTATGAATATATAGAGCAGTGCATAGATAAATGATGACTGAAAAAAAAAACATCTTGAATTTAAAGACTCGGTATTATTTTAGTAGGAGCGACAATTGCCAAAGTTTGTTAGCTTCTAGGTAGAGGCTCTATGTGTTGCTGTGAGAGTATGGCAGTCGCGACGTTTTAATGTTAAAGAGTTTATTGTTGTTGTCTGTCCCTACTCGTCCTGCACGCCTAGACATTCTCCATGCGTGTTTGCCAACTGATAAGCGCCAAGTCCGTCATCATTGTCGTCGTCAGCCATCATATGCACACAGCATGTGTTCCACAATCTCTGTGGCTGCTGACGCGCAAGGCAATCTGCTTTTTACTACACCACTGTCACACATCCTTGTACTCTGCCGCTTCCCTATGTCCTTCCCCATCTCCATCCCGTCGTGGGCTTGTCTATTATTTTTCATGACTTAAAGCCGATTTGTGAAAATATTGTTTCGCCAACTTCTGCCGACGCCACTTAGTGTCGTTGAAATTCAATTTCCAGCACCCGACGCACACACTCATATAAAAAATAGATATAGTATGTATGGGAAGGAACACCCACCACCTTTAGCGGCCGAGCAGCTGAAACGGCAATTTTCGTAATGCGTTTGACCTGAGGACATCAATTGCCCCATTTTTGTGACATCGGACCTCGGTCGTACAGGCGGACTGCCAAAAATCGTTTTTTAAGACATCATTAGCTGTCTCTATCACCAAAGTGTATGAGTGCGAGGGTCTTGGGGGCGTTGTCCATGTGCCTGCGAGCCTTTCGTATTGATTTATGATTTATTCCCATAAACATTTGATAGTTGCCCTTTGTATCAATTTCTTAAATGTGTTCTCGGCGCAAATTCAATTGTGCGGGCGTGCCACCTTCTACTGACACTTGTCGTGGATTAGAATTCTCATATCTAAGGTGTGCTGGGGTTGCAAGGAGCCCTATTCGACCTACGTAGCATCCCTAAGTACGAAATTAAGTGAGAAATAAAATGCCTGAGCCCAGACCTGAAAATCATTTGCCAATAAATTTAACTTATTTTAGAAGAAGTCATTGAATGGAAGTTTATAGAGGAAGTAAACTATATTTTAATGTATAATGCGTGTTGGTTTTAATCCAAGTAACATTATTTCATGCAATTCGACAAATTGGTATGCAAATGATTTGCGTGTTGGACCAAATCCTAAGACATTTTTATTTGAGGTACCTATCTATAACTGCTTAGAAACGTTAGGACGAAAAGTTAGAGGAGGTCGTAATTAGGAGTGTTGTGATTTTCATGGTAGGTTTGTTTCCAAAATTAAATTTTATATTTCGATATATAGACGATGTACTTGTGTAGCAACAATTGGTAAACAAATAGGTTTTCTATTTTATATATGTATTTAGAATATTTTACTTAGAAGTCAGAAACTTTAATTAAACTTCTATTGAGAAAATAGTATACTTTCAATTTTGCAAGTTGTGTTTGAAATTAATGATAAAGTTGGACAAAAATAATAAAGTACACTATAACCGAATTCGTCTATTTATTTTATATGGAGGATATAATTTTTTATAGTCAAGTCTTTTCAATATTTGAGGGTGGATGCAATATTGTATGACTGTATATCCGAACGGATAACAAGAATTAAGAATTTAATTAGTTATAAGTAGAACTATTGGCAACATAAATGTTGGTCTTAAAATCGGAAAAACAAAATTTGTGTTGCATACTTTTGGGTGTCTCTAAACATTGTTCACTCTATTGGTGCTTCAAAATTAACTGCTTGAGTCTGAGTTTTTGTTGCTGTTGTTTTTTCTTTTCTTTTGTAAATACATTTTTTTTTGTCACCACCCTTCAAGCACATTTGTCCTGCTCCGCCTGTGAGGACAATCTTGCTTCTGCTTCATTTAACTCGTACGCCGACTGCCTTGTCCTGGCCATTGGAAACTTTTCGTAAAATTTAAATATTGTTTTGAGCTTACAAACTGCTGCTGTTTTGGCTTGACTGAAATTGCACAAGTGGAGCAATAACATAAAAAATATTTTATCTGTTCTACAGTGCTGGTCATAATATTTTATGGGCCACAGTTGACACCATTTAACTTAACAGAACTGAACAGAGTAGAATAGAATTGGACTGATGCAGATATCCTGGGAGAGGTGGAGAGGGGGAGAGAGAGGTTCGTCTACCACTACACCCCCAAGAAAGTCGATTAAAGAAATCAGTGAAGCGGAATTGGCAAAGATGTTTTAGATGGACGGCGATGCTCATCAGTTGGCCAGCAATCACAGCGGCCCCATCAATCATTATCACATCTGGGCCTCAAGTGGCCAGAAGCATCAAAAAGTTGAGAAAAAGAAGAAATCATTTTCGATGCACAACTCCAATCAAGGATCAAAGCGACTGGGCAAGGGTTACACCAAACACCTTGGCCTCGCAACGAGCTAAATGCTCGTATATGCAAGCAGAAGTATGTTAGCCCGCCCCACACATCCATCTGACAATCACACAAGATTCGCTCATGTGCATGTCCTGTGGTTATTTGTACATATCCTTCACTGATTTCACCGCCGCCATTGGAGTGGCCCATATGTCAGGCGTCGCTGCGACCAGCCCTCCGATTTTGATTGCATCTTGCATGCAATTATGAATAGATTGCCTTCTCTGTGGCGTGACTTCTCCTCGAACAATGGCCGGTCTTTAATTACTTGAGCGTATTGGGGGCGTTTTTACGCCCATTGTCATTTTTTTCGGCGCATATGGTCAAAGGTTTGTGTCGAGCACTTTGAAAACATAACTTCAACTGGAAAATCAAAAGATTTCATTGTTTTGTGGTTGATTTTTTTGAAGCTCAGGTTCCCAACAAAAGTACTTTTATTACTGCCTGCATATACTATAAAAGATATACTCCTTTGTATAATGCCAGAAATATCCCAATTTCGGAGCAGTAGAGTTATTAATTTTATTATAAAAAGGTAACATCTTCACGTTGTGATTGGAGAATTATTGAAAGTCTCTTTGGATAATTGAAGACTTCGAATTTAATCTACTTATATTTGTATATAGCTGTTGAGGTATTACAGTTAGTAACAAAAACAATTGACATAACCATAAATAATCGTATATAGCAGCCGCTATTTATTTATTTATACAAAAAAGAATGCAACTAATAAATGTATTTTGAGTCTAAGAAAAGCCTAAAGTAATATCCTATTGCTTCAAAGGTTTATACTCTTCATTTTAACAATACAAATAAATAAGTGTTATTTTTTTGATTTATTTATTTAAGTTTATTATTAGTTGCAGATAATTAGTTGTATATACTTAGTTTTAGATTTTCTACACGTATTGATTGATTGATATTGATTGATTCTTGAATAATATGTGGGCAATTATTTTTGTTGGTATTCAGTATTTAAAAACAAATTATCTTATTTAAAACGATTATAACAATTGAGAAGAGAATGTTAAAGAAGTGAAATGCAGTCAAAATTAAATTACACCTGATTATTTGTCTCAAATAAGTAGAACAAACAAATTCATAAACGAAATCTGAATTTTTATATTTCAAACGGATGAAAAAAAAAAAACAGTCAATGGTTGTTATTTTCGAATAGTATTGAGTATTCTTTATTACGGCTTTATATCTGTGACCCGAAAAATTGATAAAAATCCATTCATCCACAGATCTTTCATATTTTCGCACTTTTAGTTCTTTAGATAGGTTTTCTCAATTTTAAAGATATGTTCTTGAAAACAAATGCTTGCATTTCCTTTTCAGAATCTTCAAATA